TTCAAGTAGTTTTTCCAAGAGCAAACAAAATGTTGGAGATAACTCGGTACTCAGGTACTAGTACTGACCAGTAGCACCAGACGTAGAAGAGTTAGAGTTATCAAGCTTCATCATAACTATTGGTGAGTATTTCTATGGTTTTGATTTTTTATGTATTATATTAATTATACATGTATAAATTTTAGTACTTCTCCATCGTTTTGGAAAACAAAAAGTGCTGAATTAAAAGAAAAACAGGAAAATTATAGAAGAAAATTATATTCAGCTAGGAAAAAAATTAAAAATCTCAGACAAAAAGTGGCTGATTTAAGTTTGGTTGTTAGTCAGCTTAAATCTAGTCAATTATTATCAGACAATGCACTTCAGCATATAAGCAAGACCTATGATGATACACCTAAATTATTATTGTCAAGGTGTTTGAAAAACTTGACTAATGAATCTGTCACCCGTGAGAGATATCCCACACCTTTAAAAAATTTTGCTGCTACCTTGCAATTTTATTCTTGCAAAGCATATGAGTTTGTACGCGAGTCATTTGCTTTAGCATTACCTCATCAGAGTACCATTAGAAAATGGTTTAATAATGTGGATTGCTCTCCAGGTTTTATATCTGTAGCATTTAATGTTCTAAAAGAAAAGGTAAAAGAAACAGCGGACCACAACAGGGAGGTAATATGTAGCATGATGTTTGATGAAATTGCTATAAAAAATTCACAGATTTTGCAACATGCGCAACCATCATAGGCGTATTGAAAATACCAGATACAAGTCGGCGGTTGTCGGCAATTACCTGTTTTTTTACATTTTATATTAATTTGTGACGTCATTTGGAAGAACTCAATAGAAATATAAAGAACTAAACCTTGTTTGGAAAGCAATTTGACATTCGTGACGTCACCACTCCGGCAGTCTATGGTGCGTCCAGACCTGACGAGCCGAGCGCGAGACCAGAGCAAGACAAGAGCGAGACAAGAGCGAGACGAGAGCGAGACGTTTTCTATCCATTTTTTACGCCAACCTGCCACGTGGGATCATAGTGAAAGAAAGCCAAACACATATTAAATTGCAATTGAATATAACAAACGATGGCCAAATAATAACGCATACAGTAATAAATTTTTGCATCTTTAATATGATATTCGGTCTTTAACATGGTATTGATCGTAGGTTTTCCCCCTTTTGGCTGTTTTCCCCTTTATCCCTTACACGACGTTTTTTACATAATACGTTTTTTAACGTTTTTAGAACAAAATGTTAAATAAAAAAGTTATTGGTAAGGTTAAGAAGCACATTTTAACATTACTATAGAGTATACAGGGTAATTCAAAAAAGTGTTGCGGATATAACATATTTTCTAATGGGAATACCCTATTTTTAGCCGACCATACCAATAGGTATGATAGGCTATTAGGATCGACAAAAAAAAAGTTTTTTTAATTTCACTCAAAATGAGTTACTTGGGTCATAAATGACCTAAATACAAAATATTTTCATGGTGTCTGTCTGTCTGTCCGTCTGTAACACGATAACTCAGAAAATGCTGAACCGATTTTAACCAAATTTGGCAGAAAAATACTGTGGCACCCGAGAATCTGGCCATTAGTTTTTGGTCGGGGTGGGGGGTTAGTAAGGGGGTATGGGAGGGGGTTAAAAATTTAAAAAAATCGTAACTCCAAAATTACAATAGCAGCGAAACGCGGTTTTCAAATTAAGATTAGGAATAATATTTGCAACAAAATCCATACATATATAAAAGCTCAAAGGGTTTTTTTATTACATCCATCCCGCCGAAACTGCTTTACCAATCTTGATGATTCTTTTTTTAAATGAAAGGTATATATGTCTAGATTTGTTATGAAGTATTTTTAAATTGTTGAATGACTATTTCTTTGTGTAAATCGACTAAATATTAAAACATACCTGAAAAACACCTACACACAATACCTCCAGAAATAAATTATTTGTCATTGTCAGTGGTTTGTCAGTTAGTTGCCCACGTAGGAGCCCGAAATATACCAAAAAGTGGGTCAGTTTCGGTTAAGTTTAGATTAGGTCTATATTTTTATTAATTCAAAACCAACTAAAACCTAATTCTAATCTAACCTAAACTCACCCCTTCTTTTGCATATTTCCGGCTATTGCCTGGGTATTCCTAGGTTTAACTAATATTCGAACTTACGGTGTAAATTTATGGAGGGCCCATAAATTTAAATTCGCCGTACAACAAAATTTCACCAATTTTCTCAATAAAAATTAAAAGTTTTAAATCATACTATTTTTTATAGAAATGATGGAATAAAGATGAACGGGGTGCCGGTAGAAGATACTTGGAATGTAAGTGTTAATTTATACTCGAATTGAGTTGCTTCACAGTATAGGCATATTTTGAACCCTTACCGTGCATAGTTACTGCAGATAAAAATAAATTAAAATATAGTTGGCTCCAACGATAATTTAGTTTGCAGCTTCTTTTCATCATACCTAATAAAAAAACCATGACAACCACTACTTATAGTATGTACTTACATATGTATTTTTAAACATCATTAAGAGATTTAAGTATAAAAAGGTGCCCATAATGTGAGTAGCGGTATTGATGGTTTTTTGTTATGAGGAAAATAAGCAGCAAAATATATTATCGACTGCAGCAACTATGTATTCCTAGTTTATATTCAGTATATCCAATTAATATGAATATCCAATTATACCTATACATGCTTTTAAACATTTTCTACCATTATATTTTGATAGTTGAGTTTTCGAAATTATTTGTTAGCTTCTTAAACAAAACAGACCCATAATAATTCAAATCTTTATCATCCAAGACTTTCAAGAATTATGACGTAATCTCATGTCAAATTTTTTTAAAATTATTGCATGCCTTAATTATTTGCAAAGTTAACAAAAATATTTCTTTGCATACCTTGCAATTAAAATATTTGGTCTAATTTATCAATTCTGCATCATATCCGAAATTCGGATTGTGTGTGACACAACGAAGAGTGAACGTGCAACGTGAAAGACAAGAAAAATGGCAAGTAAAAAAAATGTAAAATTTTAATTACTAATTACACAGTCCTTCCCTTGAGTTCTTCTGCCTAAAATCTATATTGCCTTCCCCAAGATTTTAAATATAAATGATTGAAACTCATAACAAGTTTACCACAATTTAAACTTAAGATAATTATTTAATTATTAAAAAAAATCCATAATTATATTAAAAAATAACACTTACGAAGTTAATAAATATTAACTATTTCTAGTTAATCATTTAATAATTATTCTGATGAAAACACGCTGGATTTTTTATTTTAGAAATCATACAGGCTATAATCATTAATATGACTATATGTATTAACAATACTTAAATTAAAATTCATTTGAAGGAATGCTACTTGAAGTATTAACTCGGAATAATTATTAAAAACTGCCCATCGCGTTATCGATGTCGGCGTCTTCTGATTGTTGTCTGGCTGATTGGCCGTTTAGGTACCTATAGTTTGATTTCAGATAATGCAGATTTTAATGTGCCATTTGTGGTTTTTTTATTGGATTTTTTTTACATATTTGGTATACTCTATGAAGTGCTCATGTCCATTTTTCAATTATTAAAGTGCCTATTTAGATGCATTTAAAATTAATTAATTAGTGTATAGTAATTGAATTATGGGTTTGTTTATTTTTTATGAAATGTATTTTTTTTCTATTAAAATAAACATAGCTTTACTTACAAAATCGGTAGCTAGCCATTTTTAAATACAGGCTGTAAATTAAGTATCTGGCCAACTTCAGAAGGTGATTCTTTGTGTTTTTAAGGTAAAAAGTTAATATAAACATGTGTCCGGAAATGCATAATTTTAAAGATACAGGGTGTCAAATCCTAATAGACATTTTTTTATTAATATTTCAAAGATCCGTGGGCCGATTTTGTTGAAATTTTGCCGTGTTGTAAATTTTGATGTTAGCACTAATTAAATGATAATAATTATTATTTACAACAATATTCAAACGGTAAAAACTTATCAACTTATCCCAATAAATATTTGACAACGCCTTGGATTCATTTGTTTTAACGCCTGTTGGCGGTGTTTTAACGCCTGTTGGCGACCATGCAAGCTTTTTCTTTGTCCTAAGTTGATAATTAAAAAAATAATAATCATATAAAAAAATATGGCAATTAGTCTAAATTTATTATTTATGTGATTCTGCTCTTTCTCGTATAATTTGCCACTTGTTTCTCATAAGGAAATAGTTAGATTAAAATAGCCAAACTGTACCTAACAACCCATTCCTTGATATATTTTATTTTAAAATAATATCGCTTTCTTTATCCGCCGGTCCAGACTCGACCTTGCCCTATTCGCTCATTAACGCCGGCTCTATCAACTTAAGTACGTGTTGACAGGCAGGTTATTGAACCCATGTTGCTCTACCATGTCGTTTTTTCAAAGATGGGTCCCATATAAACGCGGCCAGAAGTATTTTCAATACTAAAAACAAGTTGAATTTGATGGGAAAAAAGTATGGGGATATGTAGATGTTGGTATACCACTAGAGAGTGATGATTTACAACCGGCATCCAGTGTATTAGTGGTACTGGTAGTGTCCCACCAGTCCCACTGGAAAATTCCAATTGCCTATTTTTTCAACCACAGTTTGAGTACTCAAGAAAGAGCGAATGTAATAAATGAAAGCTTGATAAGACTTCATGAGGTAGGAGTTGCAATTACTTCTGTAACTTGTGATGGGCCATCTGTGCATGTATCTATGTTAAAAGAATTGGGCTGTAATTTTGACGATTACCATAATATGCAAACATGGTTTCGTCATCCATCTGATATAAATATAAAAGTCTATGCCATTCTGGATGTGTGTCGCATGATGAAATTATTTAGAAACATATTAGCTACTTTAAAGGAAATAAAAGATCGTGAAGGTAAAACTATATCTTGGAAATACTAGCATATTACTAGCCTTCATGAGTACCAAGAATTGCAGGGATTAAGATTTGGTAACAAACTAAAAAAAAGCACATATTGAATGGTTCAGGCAAAAAATGAAGGTATGGTTTATTCACTAGTAAGTAAATTTATTTTTAATTAAAATTATTGTTTTTCAGGTTTACTTAGCAGCTCAAACTTTTAGCACAAGTGTGGCTGATGCGTTAGAGTTTCCGAAGAATTATAGTATTCCCCAATTTAAGGATTCGGAAGCTACCATTAATTTTATTAGGAAAATTGATGCACTTTTTGATATCCTAAATAGTAAGAGCCGATATAGTAAAGGCAATAAGGCAGTTTTAAGATGCAATACTGAACAAAATTGGAGACCTGTTATGACCAGTATTATTGACTATATATTAAGATGTACAGATATAAAAAATAGGCCATTATGGCTAACCCCAAGAAAAACAGCAGTCATTGGTTTTTGTATATCTCCAGTATCTATTTGTGGAATATATGAATCGCCTAGTTTCAAAACCCGACAAATCCATTTTTCGAAAAAAATGAGTTATATATGTTAATGGATTCGTCTTCTAGTTCTATACAACCTAACATCATATATACTTTGCAAACTGCGACAAATCTTATCATTTCCTGGCAATAAAACATTGACTTTATATTTACTCTTTAACAACTCTAAAACAGTTTTTTCCAATTTCTCAACATTTGACTTTTGTGGATTTGTCGTGTTTTGAAACTAGGCGACTCATATGATACATATGTTACTACAAATCGACTAAGATACTTAATGACCTATAAATGTAGCCAGGATCATCTGGAAATTTTTTTTGTTCTATAAGGTATATTAAGATAATATTTTTTAAATTTAGAAAATATAAATACAAATCTCTAATTTATTATTATTTTTTTATTTAGGAGTCGTAATGGGTGGAACAATAACCCATCAGCTTTGCAATTTATGCGTTCCTTTAGAAAATTATCGTTACACACAAACAGAGGATATGTGTTAAAGATGCTTGTCAGAACAATACAATGTCCGGAATGTCTCTTGGATTGTTTTTTATCAAAGGAAGATGTTGTAGATGTTAGTCCTTAGAAGCTAATAATACAGAAAGATAGAGGTAAAACAGTTATTGTTGAAATATATCGATTATATTTAATTACTTTTAGGTGGATTATTGGTGCCATCCTATACAGTTATCAAAATATGCATGTCAGTAGAAGTGGCAATTCGAAAAATTTTAGTTATTACAGACAATAGGATTCCCAAGACTGCTCATTTTTTTACAACTTTAGTTATGGCTATAAGTCAAAAATTTTATTCGAGTATAAATATACTGTTTTCTAAATTAGAGGATCATTTTTTGGAAAGTTCATTTAATGAAATTAATCATGGTTATGAGCTAATAAAACATATTGTAAGAGCTTATGCCAAGATAAGAGTGTATAATCTTTGTAAACACTTTACAAGTATCATACAGGGTCCAGATGTAAGAAGAGAATTGACCAAATTAATTTTGTTCAATGGACAATAGATGCTATTCATTGATTCCCGTAGCTAATTTAGAAATTCAAACTACTTATTACTATAATTCCTATTAGCATCGTAATATAAATATTGTTTACTGTTTTCTTATTATTACATATATACTTCATTACTTGTATTATATTTTGTAAGATTTGTTATGTTATTAGTTAGTGTTTATACAAAAATTTGGATTTTTTTTTGTAAATTGGGGAATAATACCCATAAATTTTGCAAAGTTCAATATACTTTCAGTTTTTGTTTTTTTAATTAAAAAATTAGCTATATATTAAATATACGTAATTTTCGTTTATACTACTTATTCTTTCCTATACCTATACCTATTCCCTATAAAGACAGTTGCGTTATTTGCTATTTTAATAATATGTATTTTGCTATGTCATTACAAATATTTAGTAATTCAATAAACTGACCTTATTTTTCTTAATATTTCTATTTAATTAATAAAATTACTTCAAATATGTTATAATCAATCTGAAATATTTTACAGTAGAATTGGATATGAACCGTTTAGGTTCCTAAATTATAAGCGTTCGTAATTTTCCCATTTACTTCTAAATATTAAGATTATCCAATTTTTGAATAGGAAGGTATCCGTAGAAAAAGTATGCTAGTCTAATAACGTACGTGTGACACGATTAAATTTGCAAATTGTATGCCCACAAATCTCTGCTAAGAAACTTCAATTTGAGATAACTAACGATATCTATACAATATACAGTTTTATTAAATTTGTGATTGTTTCATAAAATATAAATATATAATTTTACAAATCATATCAGATTCAAAAAAGCGCCGTCAGTTGTGATGGTTCTTGATATTACCGCTATGTGTATCAGCGCCAAGGGCTTTCACAATGGCCGATCTCTAAATTAGTATTCTTGCGCATGTTTATGATCATTCTCCTACCTTCTATATCTCTGACTTCATCTACGTATTTCGGAGGCACTTTTTGTATGGGTACAGATCTACTTGCGAAGAAGTGGATGGGCTTTTGTTTTTGATGTTGCATAGGAATCCTATAGGCACATGCACCTATGTAGCTTAGCTATTTAAAACTGATTTTTTTTAATATTATGATCATTTATGTAAACAGCATAGAGCTATATATGGTATGATTTTATTTTTTTGGTAATTTGGTTTAGATTTATTAAGTAAGATTACTACAATTTTTTTTTATAATTATAGTTGAAAAATTTGGAGTCATTACTCTCTCTATATTTAGAGAATATTTTAACCCACCTCGTCTCCACTGTATAAAAGCTAGAGGGTATCTACAGAGGAAAAATTATGTGATGGATTTAGCCTCTGAAACTTTCTATTTTTATTAAGACTATTTTTTTTGTTTCAAAAAAAAATAATGCCACATTGTTGCAACAAGTCCAAGTACTAGCAAGTCAGGGTTACAAACTATACTTTGATAATTACTTCACTTGTTTGCCACTCGTGTGGCATTTATTCATTGGAATGATAATAAAGTTGTAGCAGTTATATCTAATTATGAAAAAAAGATGTAAGCGCCATCCGTTGGGTAGACCCTCAAAATCGAAGAAATCAGTTCCCCAGTCCGAGATGATTTCTAGCTATAATAAAGGTACGGGTACCATCTTTTTTAATATTTCATGAAATTACAAACGAAGTTAGTGCTAAAACTCGTTATTTCTCTCATTGGTTTTAATATTTATTCTAGCTATCCTTAAACAAACAAGTACTAAAAAGATTTAAACATCTGAAAGATAATGAACTGATTGCCCAAGCAGGCATATTATATCCGATAAACAGTTCATTGAGTGGTGTGCCACAAGGTTTGTTACGAACATTACTGAAAACGATTTCCTAGCATATTTGAAAGAAAAATCAGAAATGCTAAAGCCATCAACCCTTTGTCAGGTCAAATAAGGTCTGAGCATTCAGTTTTGAAAGCTAATACTATTGTTTGAAGACAGTCTGTATGATAAAGGTACAGTACATAAAACTGTTTAACTATATAAAACTTATATCTGCTTACTTTTATTATATTATTGTAGATGGTTGCAGTATTTGGTATTGCAGTAGCATGCCACAGGGACGAGTTGCAGAAACTAACATTAAACGGTCATAGTACCTTAAAGTAATAATTATTATACCGACCTGGTCATTTGATTACTGTGTATAGGATTTTAACGTGTAAGACAGAGAATGATATAAATGACCGGTTGACAGACAGAGAGACAGCATCAAAAGGGGCCGGCGAGGGGCCGGTGCGACCGATACCAGTGTTGCCGGTATTTACGGGTGTGGGCAAGGTAAAGGTGGTGGTGGAGAACGCATTCGGCCGAGCGGGCGGTGCTTTTCGCTCTCACGGTTCGTAAATTTTTCAATGATCCGATAAGAACAAACGAATGAATTCGGTATATTTGGAAGGTGAACCGAATGCATGCGGCCTTTCGCCATTCGGTTCGCTCCCTCATCCGTTTCCAGTCGGCATATCAGAGACGTTCGCAAACAAATGAAAATTATAGAACCACGCGCGCAGCGAATTCCAACGAGCTGCTGTACGTTCGTCCTGTGGATATAGTGAATTTCATTCTTTTGTTCTTTCGGATAGTGGATACGCACCTTTATGTAGATGAAAGTGGTGGGGAAAGGAAATATGATCACCTTGAGATCCAAACTTATTTCTTGCATCAATCTTTCCTCGCCTAGCGTTTCGTTGTATGTAAGTGTTTTCAAAAAAATGGTATTTTATACGACGAGGAGGAAGGTGCATATCGTTAAATGGTTTTACATTTCCTCAAGTGTGGAAGAGGTCATTGGGCGTTATATGTTCACCTTTCAAGATCGCCCTGAGCCTTGTGCCACAACTGTACGCAGCACATTGTCCATAAATTATTTGAGGCAAACACGTGCGGCATTGCGCGTGCCAGCTTACCTTTGTGACAATAAGGAAGGCGCAGATAAGGTGATTCCCGTGACCAAGTGAAATTAAAGTATTGTTGCTGCGGTCGAAACAAGCGAAACTTGTTCAAGCCGAAATTATTTACGACAAGGGGTTGCCCCAATGCTCGAATTTGGGCAGAGTTGTTTAAAAGGCCCACTCGGCAGTATTACAGTCCGTATTAAAGATCAGTACTTTACCGCATAGAAATTTTTCCCCGCAGATTGTAACAGACGTCTGGAGTTTTGCGAGGCTGTAAGATAAAGAGCCGATCGAAATAATTTATTTTATGGAAAAGTATATTATTCTCAGATGAAAGACCGTTTCCCTTACATGGCATGGCTATCACAATCATTCGATAGTACTTATTTGTCTCGAGAAAATAAGCACCCTAGTATGGCACTGCGGACACAATATCCACAAAAACTAACGCTTGCATTTATTGGGCCTTTCTTTTTTTATTGATGTATGTTAAAGACAGTGTTAAAATCTGGTATGCTACAAAACCATATAGTTGTCTCCAAGCAGTTCGATCAATCAACGTTTATTGAGGAAGCCGTTGTGTTTCAGCAGGATCGGCTGTCCCCTCGCGCCTCACGCTCCTCTGGGAACGTACAAATCTGCGCTTCAAACCAACATTATCCCAATGGCTTAATTTCCAACACTGGCACAAATTATAGATTTGCCACATATCTCTGATCCTTATCGCCAATATGAACTCTTTCTCTTGTGGGGGATATGTAAAAATTCCTTTTGCCATGCCATGACGACCCATGAATATTGTCGAGCTGCGATTAAAAATCTTTCAGTCGTTAGAAAATATCTCCGCTGTTATGTTAGCTATAGTTAGGTCAGAGTTTTATACCCGTCTTGGCTATTGCGAAGCACAACAGGAAGGTATTTTTGAACTCTTGTGATTTAATACTATAAAATCATATATTTCCACATTATTCTTTGACCTAATTGTCCTGTTGTTGAAAGTGATTGTAGTCATCTTTTTTTAATGCTTGTTTTAAATTATGCTGAAACAGCAACAAGAAGCAAGTGTACGACTGACAACCCGGGACGTAAGATTTTATTGTAAAAGATTTTTAAACGCATCTCGAGATGTAAGGTTTAATAGTGACCGATCGCCAATTGTTGACCGATTTTGTCTATATACTTCTTAAATAAGAATTTTAATATATTTTTAGTATTTGTTTTTATAGCAGATATAAG